TAATGCATGAAAATCCTAACCTCAAAAAAATCACCCGTTATAAACTTTATCCCCCATTAAGGCACTTACTACAACGCACTTTTGTTCTTTGTTGTAAAAGAGATTTGAGGCAGGCCAAAAAAGTGAAGTTAAAAAAAGACACCCTACATCGCCGTCAAAAACATTGCATTAGATATATATGTATATCCACATAAGTATTTATGTACTGTATGTATAACACGGTCGAGGCCATCCAATTATATAAAGGTATGAATGAATGTATCATATATATGTGCAAATATATCTAAAATTAAATACGTACATACATCTACATTAGACCGTACCAGAAAAAAACGTGCACCGCGCACCCCTGAGTTGTAAAGTATTTTTGCAGCACAATTTTGTGAATTTTGTTTCCTTATTGGCGATTAGGGGTCGTCTATTCTTCAAGTATGATGTATCGATGTTTTTGTCTCTAGACGACAGTTCACTGAGCTCAAGTTCCCCGTTCTAGTACTTACCCAACAGATCTCAGTTTTATCAACCTAACGTTCCGCCCCAACACCAGCAAATTAAAGCTTTCTAAAAATCATTAAACTCTTGGCAAGGAAGTATTTTGATTATTCCAGTAGAACTATAAAAAAAAACTTTATTACTGAATGTACATAGGTGCCACCGAAAAATGTTTTCGGAATCGCTTTACAAAAATACCTTAGACTCAGGGGTGTAGGGCAAACTTTTTTTGTTTTGCGTGTAAGGTGGTACGTTCTAATATAAATATATATATATATATGTATGTATGTACATAAGCGCGCGTATGTTTTATACATTTATACTTACAGTGTTTTGCCAATCTCCTTGTAAGTTTCAATATTTTTTGAATTTAAGTCGAGTGCTTTTTGTAGATTACGTAGCGCCTCAATGCTGTTGCCCTCTTCACGGTCAATTAAACCCTAAGCTTGCAGCAAGTTAAATGGCGGTCAGCAAGAAGTAAGTGAAGCAGAACATATGCAGCCAGTTTAAGCGAGAACAAGAAAATCGTTATCACCGGAGAGTGAATGAATGAGCAGTGGAGAGGGGGAATATTAAAGAATAGCATTAAATTGTAGTAAGTCATTGTAAATTTAGTAGAGTTTAGAAAGAAAATTGATAAAATATTAGATATTCTTAATAAAAATGGATAATGAGAATTTCGATAAAAGAAAGGCATTGAAAATATTTGTTTAACTTGTTTAATAAATGACAGTTCTGAAGTATGGGATGAGAAGCAAAAAAATTTTGGATAACTAAGCTCACCGGGCTGTCCTAAACAGCTCAATGAGTTTTGTATTTTTAAGGATATAATTTTGCATTTTTTTTTGCATGGGATGGGTCTGAGAGCAAGCGAATGAAATTAAAACAAAAAAAAAACTCAGCTGGAGCATTTTCAGAAATGACGACGAACAAAATATACGGATGTGGCTACATAGATATGGATGTATGTATAATTAATTTTATACTACCTGATATTTTAAGTATATACCCCGTGTCAAATCATGAGCGCTCCAGATATTACGAGTTTTATTTTTTACTTATTTTTACATAAAAACGTATTTATTCCTAACAAAACCCGTATATATCTACTGAAAAATTTACTTTTCGTCGCTTACGCCTTTTTGGGCTCGGCTTAGGGCTCGATATATTCGACGACTTTTGTTATATGGAAAAAATGGTCTAATTAAAAGGCGCGAAATTTTCACTTTAGTAAAAAAATAATTAAAATTAAAGAGTCGTATAGTTATGATATGCGCTATAGTACACTCAAAACGGTACACACATTTACAGGTTGAAATGAATAATGAAATTGTCGAAAGTTCCGGAAAAATCTTGTCCCAACGGAACATCTCAAATTTAGTTTGAAATACGGGAAGTCCCAGCAAATACGGGACATTTGGCAACGCTAATGTACATATAAAACTTATGAGCTTAATTAGAGCGCTAAATGCCTGGTATTGAGCTCTAGCCTTAATGATTGGTTTTTTCACACACACACACACACACACATACCTTGACATAATACAAATACTCTGGATTCAAACTTCTATAAAGCTCTCGATCGATTATGATGCGACAACGTATAAAATCACGTCGCGCATAGTAGAGATGGACCAACCAATCGATGTTAGTGCCAGCCGCCATGATGGGAACTAATCAACGAAAAAATAATATTATGTGCTTAGAATAAATTTCCCGAATACTCAAAAAAAGTGTGATTTTAATATAAATCTTATTACGCACCTGCTTTGACCACCTCCAATGTGGGCAGCGTTATAACCTGCCCATTTACTATAATCTCCTCCGCACTGGCCATGCAATTGAAGTTGCTAATCGAGTCGAAGTTTTGTGTGACTCAAAAGTGAATTTCACTTTTTTCACAGCAAAATGAAAAATTGCGTTTGTGAGGGAGTAGACAATTTGTTGCCAAGTGGCTAGCTAATGCGTATATCGTCGCCGTATTTGTATCTGTATACGAGTATAAAAAAAAAAACACACACAAAATATTTCCTTTTTTCATTTATATTAGTACTCGTAACTAGAATTTTATGCTGTTTTTGTTTGTGTTATTTGATTAAGCTGGTGGTAGATTAGGTAAGCCAAGCGGATAAGTATGTACTTATGCTACAGTAAATTCATTGTTGACCAAAACAAAATCAGTGGCCATGGCAACTTGGTGTGTGGGCATGCCAATGGCAATAATTTGAAGGTTGCTATCTAGTCATTCGTTTCATACAAATGATGAATTCTGTGCTTCTTTTATGTCAATAAAAGCATTTTTCACTTTAAAATTGGGTAACAAGCCAAATACAATAAATATATGTATGTATCTACTTATTGCACCAAAAGCAAAAAACAAATGCTTCGAATTTCATAACGAATTGTACTTTTATTAAACCCATAGGCAACAGTTATTTGTGAATGGTGATATTTTATTTTAACCCTCTAACAGGCAAAGCAGTTAGAGCAGTTGAGGCAAAATATTGGACTGGAAAGCGAACAGTTATCGTCGGAAATCTTGCGGAAAGCCATGGAAAATGCGACAAAACGGATATCATCTTTTCCACTTAACAGTAAAAATTGTAAAGGTCCAAATAGAGGTTTCCATCACTCAAAATTTCAGTTTTTTATTAAGTGAAAAAGTTAATCAAAAACAAAATTGGATGATTAATTTTGCGCCACCCTGTGCAAGCTCGTATATTGAATATATTTTTAACATAATTTTCACGTATATATAGGTTTTGCCCACTGTGCGCCGTGACAGCAACGGGTAAAAAAATATCATATGTATCTTTCGCTTCTCTCTCGAAATACATTCTTAATTTAACCAATTTTCCAACCTAAATAAAAATCTGCACAGTGCATAATGCTTTTAACCATGCTTAATTAAAATTTTGTTTTTTTTTACATACGTATGTACATACGCACATACAAATCTTATTATGTAATTCTAAAAAATTGTCAATGGCGAATTCCGCAACATGCAATTAATTAATTAACCATTTGCAAAATTCATTTTAATCATGCTATCCTTTTGCGGCTCTTTTTATCTAAGCGCGTTTTCGTCTAAGCTTTGAATTTTTAATTTGTTTTGCTAACCCATTCAAAAGCCTTAAAATTCATTCACGCACACGAATTATATCACTCCCCTCAAAAAATAAATGTAACAAAACAGCAATTTAGGCAGCAGGCAGTGCGCTAAAAACTATCATAATAAAATATGTATGTACGTGCAAAAATGTCAATACATAGATTCCAAAGCGACAACAAGTTTCCTTAAACGACAATAACAAAAACGCCACTTTTGTATTGTGTTAAAAAGTTCAAAATACTGCGAATTTTACGCCATTGAGTATTTACAATTTTCTGCTTTGTAATCTCTTAATTCACACCAACGCCGTCATAAGGTATTTCGGTTTATGGTCACTAGTTGATCTAGTGATCGTGATCTAGATTTATCTCGTCCATTTTAGAATTGTGACACAGTAAATGTCTGTAGCTCATACGACCAGTAGAACCAAATTGTAGAATACATAAGTACATATGTATATGCATTCATGCATATTAATATATGTAAGTATGTATGTAGATTCACATTCCTTCGAATAAAAAAGAAAAAATTGGAGCGAATGAAAGCTGCATGCATCCAAACATACATATCGTACCTTAATGCACAAAGGCCCTAACCAACACTTTTTTCGAAACTTCGTTTTTCACAGATTTTGGTAGGATGTATACACCTTCAATCAAAATTTTAAGGTCTTAGCACCATAAGCAACGGAGTTACATGCTATTTATTTAAAAAAAAAAAATCGACCTGTTTTTGATACTCTTTTTATAACGTTATTTGCTTCTCCTGTAAAATTAAAAATTTGTTGGTTAGGGCCTTTGTTAAGTATTTATTCGAGACTTCACCAAGAATAAATACTAAAATAAGAAATCTCTATTTGCATTAGGAAAGATTTTTGAACTGCTGTAAGCTTCTCAAAAATATGTCAAGACCTCATTTTTGAATTTGAGCGACGTTGTTAGTTACGGCAGAGAACGTTCTCTGGTTACGGTGACGACAAAAAGTCTTTTGGAATAACTGCAAAAAAACAGCTTTCAGAAATGCATCATACATTTTTTTTTCGAATAACGGACACGAATAAAATTAATCGTCAAGTGCACCCTGCGAATTTGCACCTACTTCCTAGCAAAGACATGACCCATCATAATTATGTGCAGTTTTTTAACAACACATTTCCGTCTGTTGCACACCACAGCAGTTCTATGCATTTTTAGATTTTTAAAACATTTTTATTTTTTTTTTTTAAATGTATTTTTTAAGTGATAAATAGCGGCAAATAGTCATACAACCTACATATTTGAAAAACTCAATTCAAAAGTTTTGCTTTTTCAAATGCTTCAGCATGCAACACTGTCGCCAACAGTTGACTTCATCAGTTAAAATTGCAGTCTTTTCATGAGTAAATTCAATTTCAACTCTTGACCACGGTTGCCATTTCATCAAAATTTTTTATACCACAATATCTAAGTAAAAATGCCCAAAATAAAATAAAATGTACCATTTTTTGCCGTCCAACAAAAATATATACAGTGCCTCAAACAAGTGACCACGTATTGATTTTTTTAATATTCGTAATGTTTTTCGAGCAATTTATTTATTTTTTTTCTATAAAAATACCGTCCATGCTTTAACCAAAACCAAATAAACAGTTTCAAACTTTATACAAAAGGTAGGAAAAATCGACAAATTTTCATCAAAATTTCAACTTTTCAATTTGAATCTTTGCAACATTTTTGGGTGTGCAGTTTTATAGCCCATACAATTTTAGTGTAATAAAGTGCAAGTTTCAAGAATAATTTATAATATTCCTATTTTCCGCCTGGAGATCTTTGTAAATATCAATTTTGAGTGAATAAGCTTCAGTAGTCACTAAAATATCACAGTCATCGCTTAATCGATTTATTTTGTCATTCTGAGCATTTATGTATACAAAAAAAAGAAGAGCGTAAGAACGAGGGACAGCTGCTAGTTTTTTAGGTTAAGAAACGCTTTCCAGCAGAAACTAGTGATACTTATCTATAAAGAAACAAAGCTAATGCTTGATGTCAAATTTTTCACTAGCCTTGCCGGATAAAAAACTTTTATTCACCTCATAGCTGTCAAAAATTGACCTTTCTATCAATTGGGACAGGGGCTGTTGTATATACTGTGGACACCGTAATATTACATTTACATTAACCCAAATGCGTCATTTGGGCGAGAAATCT